ATCAATTCTACTGATATTGAGCTTAAATTTGTACAGTATTAGATGAGTCACCACCACAGATGCTAAAAAGTCATCAGGTCTTCATTTAAAACTTAGATTTTAAATATGTTCTTTCATGCTGTTGGTCCGTTAGCTAAATCAGCTGCTTTTTGACTTTGACAAACATAAAATTGGAAGACTGTTCAACAGATAAGGCGCTACAGTTTGGTGTGTTGGTAACAGAACTAAACATCACATCAGATAGTTTTAGTTTAAATCTCTGTGATCATTCCTTCATGGAGTGATGCAGCTATAGTTTTAACATGGTTTTATGGGTTAAATGATCTCCACCTAAACATTAACTAGGCTTTGTAAACAACTTTCTCTTTGCTGTGTAAAATCTTATAGGCTACTGCAGAAGTTCGACTTCCCCGCCATGCGGTTTTCTCTCTTCTTCTTGGGCTACGAGGACAAGAAGGAGATCCCTGCAGATGTGAAGGAGAAGACAGCCTCTTCGGGTCAATACGGTAATTTATATGTAGTGCAAAAATTAATTGTTTTTAAAGCCTTCTTGTTAAAAGATCTGTTATGTAAGGTTTGAGTGGGAGCTTACTGAGAAACCCTGACTTCAGTTTAGTTTCCGCTTTCATTTATCTCTCTTCAAATTCCCCAACACACTCACTCACTCGCATGCGCGCACTCGCGCACACACACACACACACACACTGGTGAAGTCTGAGGGGAGAACAGGACTTATGTGTGTTTTAGTCGGGGCTCGTGGGAGATTTTAAGCTCCAACAAAATTCATAGAGGCTCAGAGATCAGTTTTAGATTGCTGATTAACTGCATTCTAGGTCCCCTTTGAAGGTCTTTGATCTAATGCAGCGCTGCTGATGGAGACTATTCTAAAATTTTAACTAATGAAATAATTTACTTTTTAAAAAAACTAAACGTTTGCTGTGTTCTCTGTAAACAATATGGAAGTATTTCCTCTGGAGAGCAACTTAATAAAATATCATACACATCCAGGCAGAGATGGGCCAGATCACATTACTGTGATTCATCCAAGAGGAAAACATCATGAAATGTTAATTTGCACCGAGGCGTAGAAGAGACTAGCCCTTTCCGACCCGATCATTTACCACGTCTTTCCTTTCTGCAGCAAATGCAGGCAAAGATACTTAAAACGTTCACATTGAGCTTGTGGAACTTGAGTTTATAAAACAAAAACACGTGTTACGTGGTTTCCTGTTAATGAAACCTTTTAAAATAGTCTAAAGCGACCTGCCCTCAACCTAATGCATTGATCTGTCCCCCGTGGAACAATTCTAACATTAGAAAGCTAATCTGACCCTGGTTATATCAGTTAACTGGTTTCTAACTTTCTTAGTTTATGACCAGCAGTCTCAACCTGGAAAGGTACTGGTGTCCCCTCATAAGGCTGAAGGCCAGAGTATTACTGATACTCATGTATGTAGGAGAACAACTTTGTATGGCTGTTGTTGTCCTGGGAGCATCGCCGGGTTGTGTGAAAAATATCTTTTAGTATGTAATAAATGTATTAATACTCACGTTAAATTGTATGGTTTTTTTTATTTTAGAGACTCAGCAATCATAAAGTCAACATTTTCTGTCTTTATTTCTTTTTCATCATCAGTAGACTTATTCCAGACTTGACAGGTTCGTCTGAATTCAGCCACATTGGAGGTTTTCAGCAGGAAAATCCTGTTAAAAGTCAAAGGTCAGGCATTCTCCTTCAAGACATTCTGCTAGAAAGCAGAATTCATGGTTCCATCCTTTACATCAGGTGGTCCAGGTCCTGAAGCAGCATGGCAGCCCCAGACCACCACACTACCACCACCGTGTCTGGCTTGTGTTTGTGCATTTTACGCTTTTATGCAAATTCAAACATGCTCCTGCTCTGGGATTAGAGCACTGGGAGAAAACCCACATGTTTGGGCCGAACATGCCAACTCTGCACAGAAAGACTGCAGCCGGGATTCAAACCAGCAACCTTTTAGTTGCAAGGCAACAGTGCCACTACCTGCTCCACTATGTAGCCCGTAGGTCTGATCTTTTTGTGTTGGTTTGAATCCAGACCAAGATGTCTCCCTTTTTTGTCTGTCAGTTCATAGAATGTTTTCCCAGAATTCCCCGGGATCGTCGTGATGGTTATCCTCACTGACACGTGTGGGACGATGAGACACTCTGCGGGTGTGTGTTTTTGAGTTGGCCACTAGAGGGCGCATCTAACCTAGAGGAAGAGTGACTGGAGGGTGGAGGACAATGAAGTCACAAGTTGAACGTCTCACACTACACCTTCAATTCAAAATCCTCTCCATTTGAAACTCTTCCTCAGCTGTAATCAACGTACATCTCCATCTCTTTGCAAGTCATAGACATTTTAAGTTTGACTGGATACAGAAATGTTGTGATGCTAATTTATTCATGGGGAAACATGCTGACCACTTTCTAACTGAACCTTAAAGTCAGTTTCTGTGGAGCTGTTTGTGTAGATTGCTCCGTAAACAACATTGGTTTGAAGAAATAGAGTAATTGTAACTGGCTTGAAATCGGTGAGTATCAACACATTCATCTTCACACTGAGGATTCCAGTTAGGTGGTCCAGGAACTTGTCTAAGATGCCTCCTGGCTACCTCCCCCTGGAGTGGAAGACCCATGCATCACCCAGAGGTTTATAAATCTTCTCTGACCTGTTAACACCTTGGGATCCTCATGGAGGAGCTGGAGAGTCACTGGGAAGGAGGTAGGTCTGGGTTACCCTCATGAATACTTTGCCTCCATGACTTGACACTGGATTAGTGGATCTGTTGTCTGGATGTAACATCTTGGATATTTTATCAGCAAACCTTAGACATTTTATGAAAGCTGAATTTAGTTTGACCAGCAGAGGTAAAACTAGGTGCTGACTGAGGATCAATTAGTAAAAAGGTTCCTATATAAGAAACCCAGCATAGAGTTGCATAAAGTCACTGACTAGTGTCAGATTCTTTACAGCAATTCCTCATACTAAGCAAGCATTTAGCGACAGTGGAGAGGAAAACTCCCTTTTAACAGGAATAAACCTCCAGAGGATCCTGGCTCAGTATAAGCAGCCATCCACCATGAAGGTGAAGAAAGCAATGAAATGCAAAGGTTAAAACACTGTCCACTTCATCAGTGTGCCACAGGTTACTCTCTGGTCTCCAAACCAGATAACACATTGCTCGTGACCTCGCAACCGGGAGGTACAGTCATAACAGAATCTGTGCTTCGTCAGAAGACTCCAGACAAAGGACAGAAACCTTAACCCTTAATAAAAGAATGTTATTCTTTCTCATACAATCAAGTATTCACTTTAAAGATTAATTAGAATTACATTATGTAATTAATCTTTTAACTAAAGCGATTTAATATAATAAAATAATGTCCTGACTGCTTTACAGTAATGAATGAATCAAAATAATAGATGTCACGCCCTTTATACTTCCAAAAAAAATTTGATTTCCAACTAAAGGCCGTTGGTGAAAACAGATGATTTCCTCTAAGCACGCACTTTAGACTTGATTTCTTACAAATTTTATAAATGGTTTATTCTTCCAAAAAATAGTTCAGAATTCATTCAAAATGTTCTACTTTTGATCAAATGAAAATTAACCTTAAATAAAATTATCAGGTATAAAAATGGTAAAAAAAATCATTTAACCAAATCCTCCCATTTTCCCTGACACTTGGCCAACAAACATTCTTTCACACACCTCCCCATGTGCTACTTAAGCTTAATGACTAAGGCGTGTCCAAAAAATTCAACTACATCAATTTGCCAAAAAACAAAAAATTAACAAATTTTAATTGCAAACTTAACTTATTATAAAGGGAATGATAAAAGAAGGAATTCTAAAAGAAATTTATAACTAACAGATTTATGTTACTTTACTGAAAGGGCCACCACATTCTGGCCCCTAATTCATGTTTAACACGAATTACATTTATACCTCTAGTGGCCGTTACAAAATGGATCATTAACATTAACAAACTTACATTAAACATGAGCTTTCCTTTTCTCAAAGAATTCATTCAAATTTTGACATACAACATTTCATAAAACGAATAACCCCCCCCTTTTTTAAGGCGTCCATTCATGTCTTCTGAGAACAAAAACAGAGATCAATGTCCTCTTTTAAGTTCTTTTCATCTTTCTTCATTATGTGTATGTTATATAATGAGATTGTCATGGTATGCGTCTGCCCCCTCCTTCATGTGCCTCCTGGTGTCCTCCATCCCTCTCTAGATTCCCTTTTGTGTCTCACAGCGCCCTCATGTGTCCTTTGTCTGCGTCTCATTTATGTGTTTGTAGGCATTCGATCATGGTAAATGGTAAAATGGTAAATGGCCTGTATTTGATATAGCGCCTTCTAGAGTTCTTGAAACCCCCCAAGGCGCTTTACAACACAATCAGTCATTCACCCATTCACACACACACATTCACACACTGGTGGGGATGAGCTACGATGTAGCCACAGCTGCCCTGGGGCGCGCTGACAGAGGCAAGGCTGCCGAGCACTGGCGCCACCGGTCCCTCCGACCACCACCAGCAGGCAACGTGGGTTAAGTGTCTTGCCCAAGGACACAACGACAGTGACAGACTGAGCGGGGCTCGAACCTGCAACCTTCCGATTACGGGGCGAGCACTTAACTCCTGTGCCACTGTCCCCATCCCTTCCAGTTGTAGCTCCAGCCTCTTTGTCCCCGGCTCTGTGTCTGTTTGGGTGTGTACGTGCCCATTCCCCAATAGCTGGGTTTCATGTGACGTCATCACCAGCGTGCGCAAATTCGTTGGAGGGCAGGAAGTGAAGTGGAATACAGCAATTTAGCAATCGCAACGGTAAAAATGCCTATGTTTTGTGTTGTTTATGGTTGCTCCAATCGCTCTAACCGAGAAAAAAATAAAAGATTTTTTAGAGTACCGAAGGTTGTCGTTCACAGAGGCGACAAGTATAAAAAGCTTAAAGAACAACGTCGGAAAAAATGGATTTTAAACCTACGCCTGCGGTCAGGAGGAGCAGAGTCTGACAATGCCCGCGTCTGCGGTGACCACTTCCTCCAAGGTATATTAACAGCTAACGTTGTTTTATGGCGGTGTTTAAATACCGCAATGTTAGTTCTATTGTAGTGATTACTTGTAGTCTTAATATGAACATTATTCGACTTTTTAGGCCGCCCTAGCTCCTTAGATGAGGTTGAGTCGGAAGACTGGGCTCCAACGGTCAACCTCTGTTACCAGAAGTCTAAGCCCAAGTCAGAAGCCTCTCTTCAACGGGATCAGAGGATGAAGCTAAAGGAAGACAAACAAAAACGGTATGATTGTGCAGAAACTCTGTTGGATCTTCAGATACCAGACAAGCAGAGAGTTGAGAGCTCTGAACCAACGCTGACACCTGACCACCCACAGTCCGAGCGCATCGGTGTGATTGAGACGTTTAATGATGGAGGTACGTTTTTTTTTTATGTTTATACTGCAGATGTGGTTAAGAATCTAAAACAGCATGCAACATATAATGTAAACATATAAATGACCTGAACTTGTGTTGCGCCTTTCAGAGTCAGAGGACTCCAAAGAGCTTTACATCATTCACCCATTCACACACTGATAGTGATGACCTGCAATGCAGTCACAGCTGCCCTGGGGCGCACTGACTGAGACAACAGACAACATCTTTATTTTTTAACATATTTCTGCAATACAGTTTCAGTAAATGATCCATGCTTTCGTTCTTTTTTAAACACAGAAACAGTTTTGTTTACCTGTTTGTAGCTACGGTTTCGCCGACAGCTGCCGGCTTCTTCAGGCTGACGCTGATGGTGGCGCGTCACTTCCTTCTCCGTTTATAGAAGAAGGAACGGAGAAGGAAGTGACGCGCCACCATCAGCGTCAGCCTGAAGAAGCCGGCAGCTGTCGGCGAAACCGTAGCTACAAACAGGTAAACAAAACTTTTTCTGTGTTTAAAAAAGAACGAAAGCATGGATTTACAAAGACACAGCAAGAACACACCTAAGATGTTCAGTAAATGATGTCCGGCATACCCTAAATCTAGATGCAAATACTGATTTCTTCCAATAATCTTATCAAAACAGTAATGTCTTAACTTAATGCTTATACACATTTTAGCTTACAGTTCTTTAGGTTAAAGTTGCTTTCTAGCACATAACTAAAACGATGCACCAGTTAGGGCTGCTCAATTAATCGAATTTTAATCACAATTACGATCTGAGTTTTGAATGATTATACAAACAAAACAAGCCGATAATTTGCTCCTCCCACTTGTGCTGCCCTGAGTTGCAAATGAAGCGCTCCCAGGGTTGCCAACTTGGCGACTTTGACGCTATTTCCAACAGCTTTTCAGGCCTTCTTGATTTTTTAAATCTTAAAAGTACCTAGCGAACACCTGAGAAACATCTCTGGTAACCCTTAGCTACTTTCTGGATAACTGTCGTTGACATTTCCTGCAGGTTAGCTAAACACTCCGCCTGCGCTCCGGACCGTTCTTCAGGACATTAGGAAAGGGAATGATGTAGTGATGTGTCAGTCGCTAAAGAAACAGCTCTCAGAGCGGGCTCCCTGTTGGATTAACCAGAGTGAGTGACACGCACACCGCACCTGCGGACTTCTGAGCCACTAAAAACGGCTAAATGTGCGTGTGCGGCGCGCTAAACAGTGCAGCTTGCCCCTGATTGCTGTGAGACCAGGTTGGGGGGTGGGGGGTGCAGCTGTGGTTGGGACAATTATTACATTAACTGATGGACTTGTAAATTATAAATAAGGTAGAAATAAGTTCCTCACGCTGATAAATAATAACTAATCTCTCTGAGGACACGGTGCTAGTGCACTCTCCTACAGCACCTTGACACGACTCAATAAATGTTATGCAACATTTTGTGAACATCAGTTTATTTGCATTTATTTGTTATAAATGCCACTGTATAATTCTTGCTGTCAGTATTTGCAAGATATTGGTATTTGGGTCTGTACTGGTTAGACTTAAATGAATTAAACCAAGGTCTATAGCCCTTGGGTCATAAACTATGAGCTATAAGTATATTGGTCTTTTTATACTGGGAATCAGGAGTTATTTTAGTGATCATCTTGTTTCTTATTTATTTTTGTCCTGATTGCGCCCTGAACAATTTTATGACTGAATAAAAACAAATAAAATCAACATAAATTGAAAAATCGTCCTAAATAATCGAGATCACAATTTCAGTCACCAAAATCGTGATTATTATTTTTGCCATAATCGAGCAGCCCTAGAACCAGTTATTAACACGGCTTCTGATTTTCCCAGCCATTATAATAGAAATGAATCAAGTGCTGCTTAAAATAGGGACATCTAAAACAGGGAGGTGTACACATCTTGTAAAATTGTCATTACACATTTTTAAAAAATAAGATTTTTTTTTTACATTTACCATGGCTCTACAAATCATTTGGCTCAAGTGCTTGGTAGAGTTGCAATCTTTTTATCCTATCTCAACTGTTTATACATTATTTTTAATGATACAGACACAATTACTTGACTTGACTTCAGTAATTATGCCCTCCGATTGCAGGCTACGCAGATGCCGGGACCCAGACAGAGCTTACGATGAAGGACATTGAGAAGATGGAGGACGTTCTGAGACAGAACACAACAGAGCTGGCAGATCTTCACTCCAAAAAACTGGACACAAATTTTTGTCAGAACTCATTTGAAAAAAAAAATGAGGACAAGACTAAATTCTACAAGGGACTCCCCAACTTTTTAGTTTTATTGCAGATTTTTGAGCTGTGTGAGCCCTACATCACCTATGGCCCCATGTCTGTGCTGTCTAAATTTGAACAGTTTATGTTAGTTTTAATTAGGTTGAGACTAAATCTCCCACTGAAAGATTTAGCTTTCAGATTCAAGATTTCTCTGTCCAGTGCTTCCAGAATTTGGCATAAATTAATTGACATACTTTATGAAATACTAGAATTTCAAATTGAGTGGTCAGAGCGACATGTACTTCATGCAACAATGCCAATGTCATTCAGAGAGGCATTTGGAAATAACGTTGCTGTGATAGTTGATTGTTTTGAAGTTTTCATTGAGAGGCCCTCTAATTTATTAGCCCAAGCACAAACTCGGTCAAATTATAAGCACTATCATACTGTAAAATTTCTAATTGGAGTTGCGCCCCAAGGCTATGTTACATATATATCTTGTGCCTGGGCAGGGAGAGTCAGCGATAAGCAGATTACATTAGAGAGTGGCCTCTTAAAAAACTTGTTGCCTGGAGACATTATATTAGCAGACCAATTTTACCGCAAAGACTACAACTCCCATGATGCTTTGCGGCGCCAGCGCGGAGCAGATGCGCCCCCTCCTTTGTGTTTTTTCAGCGCCGAGGCAGTCAGAGGTAGTTGGGTGTCTGCAGCTCCGCTGTCTCGGGCAAACTACACTCCTCTCAGCGCCGAGTTCACTCAGCTGTTTTCTGACGTTGAAGCCCAGAAACGGAGATTCTAACCGCTCAGTAATGTGTTCACGACTGAAAGAGAAAGTTTTCAAACTAACGTCCAGACAGAGCTGATATAACTTCAGCAAGCAGCGACACGCTCAAACCAGCACGACTCTGTGGCTGCTGTCGTGTTTCCTCCCTGACACAACAACGTGGTCAAGCTGCTCAGACATGTTCATCAGCACAAACCTATGTGAGCACCTGTTGTCATCTAATGTTGTCATTATTATGATGAAGATAAACAAAACAATAGGAGCCTCCTCCTCAGCTCAGATCAGCCCCATGATGCAGGTATCTGGCTGGAACAGGTGAGCATCACAGTAAACCAGTGGAGCAAACTGAGCTTTAAATATGTTGGATTTATGCTCTTTTTCTGCTCCAAAACATGAAAGTTAACAGGTGAGATGTTGCATTTTCATTTAAGATAAAATGATATTTTTATTTTGTTGTTGTTCCGTGAGAAAAGATTTAACCTACAGTAAACAGGAAGTGGAAAGGCTGCAGATAGATGAATAGAATAGAAAATCCCTTTATTGTTCCTCAGTGGGGAAAGCTAGATGTCACAGCAGCGATGACACTTATTACAGGAGAAAAAAAAGGAGAATAAAAATAAGAAAAATGAATAAACAAGAAAACATAAATCCTGAATAAAGCCAGGGGTGCAGACTCTCCCACCAGATCCACGGTGCAATTCAACCTGACAACAGTTATCTTTATTTTCATTTACATGAACGATCATGAGGAATCATCTGGACAAATGTGAAAGAAAAAGATCTGTAGAGAAGGAAAATGGAAAGTGTAGGAGAAAACGAGGATGTACTTCTTTAGTAAATGTTCACTGATGAGTTTTCGTGTTTGGGAAATTACAAGTGAGGTCAATCACAAGTTGTGTTTTCATAAAATAGTGTTTCTATCTGAAAATAAGTCAGGGTTTTATTTTAACTTTATTTCTCAGTGTTGCAGCTGGATGCTCTTCTGCGCACCTCTAACAGGTTACCAGACATTTGAGATTATTTTCTAGTTATTCAATTAAATGATAATTGTATAATGAATATTTTTCTAAAGCAAAGTTTTAATAAGTTATTAAATCAGACCCATCAATGCCATAGACACAATCTCTGTCACACCGCTGCATCTTTCGGATCATTACTTCATCCATTTCAGCACGACTCTACAAGGGAGGTCCACTGCTTCCTCCCCAATGGTCTCATTCCGCCGCAACCTCCACAATCTGGCACCCAACTACTTCTCCTCTCTTGTTGCCTCCACTCTTCCATCTCCCAGCACATTCTCTGCTTATGAAGTGAATGAAGCCACCTAGTCACTCTGCTCCACACTCTGCTCTTGTCTTAACAACGTGTGCCCTTTAGCCACTAGACCTGCTAGATCCTCTCAGTCGCACTCTTGGCTAAATGATACCCTCCGGTCTCTACGCACCAATCTTAGAGCTGCGGAACGGAAATGGCGCAAAACAAAAGATCCTGGTCATCAATTGAAATTTCAGGAATTACTGTCCTCATTCTCTGCCAGCATCACTGATGCAAAGAAAGCTTTCTACACTGACAAAATTCTCAGCTCTACTGACTCTCAGAAACTATTTTCAACATTCAAAACTCTGCTCAACCCTCCATCTCCACCTCCTACCAACAATCTATCAGCTGACACCTTTGCCTCATTTTTCACTGACAAAGTGGCAGCTATAAGCAAACAGTTTACTCAACTGGACACTCCTGAACATTCGCAACCACAAACTCCTTCTAGCCCAACCATCTCAGGCCCTACTGCTTCATTTTCCTCTTTTTCCCCTCACTGAGAACTGTGTGTCCAAGCTTCTCACGTGCAGCCGCCCTACTACATGCCCACTTGACCCCATTCTGACTAAGCTAATCTAAGCTATTGCTCCTACAGTAGCCGCAGCAGTCATACGTGATCAACGCTTCACTGACATCCGGTACATTTCCCACCTCTCTCAAGCATGCTCAGGTTAAACCTCTGCTAAAAAAAACCATCTCTTCCTCCAAATCACGTGGAGAACTACCGACCTATCTCTCTCCTCCCTTTTCTGTCCAAAATCATTGAAAGGGTGGCTTTCAAGCAGATCACAGAATACCTCTCACAAAACTGTCTGCTTGACCCTTACCAGTCTGGGTTCAAACAGGGCCACTCCACTGAAACCGCTCTGTTAGCAGTGACTGAATCCTTAAAAGAAGCTAGAGCGACAGGCAAATCCTCAGTGCTTATCCTGCTCGACTTATTGGCTGCATTTGACACTGTCAACCATGGCTTCCTTTTGTTCACACTCTCTAGCATGGGCATCACAGAGTAAGCACACGCCTGGTTTGAATCGTACCTCACAGGACGATCATTCAGTGTATCTTGGCTTGGACAATCCTCTACCATGCACCATCTTGCCACAGGAGCCCCCCAGGGCTCTGTACTAGGACCTCTTCTCTTTGCCACATACACCACCTCACTGGGTGAGATCATTCGATCACATGGCTTCTCCTACCACTGCTATGCAGACGACACCCAGGTCTATCTGTCATTTCCACCGGACGACCACACTGTCTCTGCATGAGTATCAAACTGTCTCTCTGACATAACAAAATGGATGAAATCCCACCATCTCCAGCTCAACCTCTCTAAAACTGAACTACTTGTCATCCCACCAAAACCATCCATACAGCATAATATCGCATCCAAAATGACTTCCTATTAGAGCCCTGCACGGGCCTAAAATCTGAGCCCGTGTCCGGCCCGGCCCGAGGGGGTGGAGCCCCAGCCCGACCCGGCCCGAGAAGGTTTTCAGGATTCTCTGGGCCGACCCGAGCCCGAGCCTGACTTTTTTTTAACCAACTAAATGAAAACAAAGTGCGTCAATCCTGACCAATGTGTTAAAAGACGTGCAGGATCCGATCAATTTGTTTTTCCCTCATTTACCGTCACGGAGATGATGGCGCACTGGCTCTGGTGGTAATCAAGTTAAATTTTATCTCTTTCCAACAATTTTAACAAGAAAACAAAACAGTTAAAAGCAGGGCTTGTGTTGACCAGATAGTTCCCGTATTTGATCGTTTATTTTGACGGAGAAAGAATAGGAAAAATTACCCCGACGCATGCAGACGAACTGACATTTCATTCTATGCACATCGCAGATGTTGCTAAATCACCCAAGAAAAGATTCCCATCTGAACATCTGAGCTGCACACTGCTCAGCGCAGCTCGCTGTCAGCGCATATGTGCACAGCGAGCTGAAGTTGTGGAGATTGACTTGGAGCGTGTCGCAGAACCAGAGCGCATGCGGGAAGGTTCCTCCCACTGAAGCGAGTATTTTCCAAACCCTGTCTCTCAGAGAGACTTGTCACTTAGAAAATGTTCCCTGATTATGAAACTTTGGCTGAATAGTGCTTGTTCCTGTCTCCAATGTGGCGACGCATCCAGGAGCCATCTGAGGAGAATCCCAGAATCTTACATCCTCTTCAGCTCAGGAAGCGCCTCTGACTACGCACAAGCGTGACCCGTCAACCTGGTCTCACAGCAAGACTGGGTTGGGCCTGTTCAGGTTTACGCAGACAATCTTTACACAGAATTGACTTACAGATATAAAATTAATTCAGTAAAATATAAAGCATTTTATTTAAATATCCATTCATTATTTTACTAGCACAGAGAGCCGCATCAGATTCAGATCAGCGGGAAGATTCCTCCGACTGAATTCAGTCGGAGGAATCTTCCTGCATGCGCTCTGGTTCTGCGACATGCTCCAAGCCCCTCTCCACATCTTCAGCTCGCTGTGTACCTTATGTAGTACACGCTGACAGCGAGCTGCAGTGAGCAGTGTCCAGCTCAGATGTTCAGATGGGAATCTTTTCTTGAGCGATTTAGCTACATCTGCGATGTGCGTAGAATAAAATGTCAGTTCGTCTGCATGCGTCGGGGTAATTCTTTCTATTCTTTCTCCATCAAAATAAACGGTCAAATATGGGAACTGTCCGGTCAACACAAGCCCTGCTTTTACCTGTTCTGTTTTCTTGTGAAAATAGATAAAATTAAACTTGATTAACACCAGAGCCAGGCGCACTGCGCCGTTATCTCCGTCACTGTAAATGAGGGAAAAACAAAATAATCGGATCCTTTTCTGACCTTCCCCACCCACAAAGTTTAATTACAACAACCAAACGTGACAGAGCCTGGATTTGTATTCTGAACAGTCTAAACATGTTTTTAAAAGAAATGTATGACAAACGTGGCACCTGCTCAGTAAAACCACCAACAGGGTGAAAAATATCAAAATATGGTAGGCAGAGACGGGCTACAACTTCTGGATCCACTTTATATAAATCGTTTTATTTATTATCTTCTTATGAAAGATAAATTTGACGCACACGAGCGACCAGTACCGGCTGCTGTCACCTGTTGTGAGC